TTGCACTGAGGAGCAGCCTGACTGCCTGTTAAGAAGAGTGGCCAGAAGGGGGAGGCAGAGAGCAGTAGCTACTTTTGAACATCCACACACCCTTGAACCAAGCTCTGTTTATCAGGTATATCCAGGGTCCTAGACATGAAGAGTCCGCCCTGTGAGTGGGTTTGGGAGCAGATTGGAGGTGACAACAACAACAACACACTGAGAAGCCCCTAGGAGAGGTCCATTGTGAAGAAACTGGCTTTCATGACAGGCTTGGGGAGAGAAAGACTTCTTTTTACAGAAGGCCATCTTGAAGGATATTGAAGAAAAATAGTGTTTTTTTTTATAAGTGATAAGGGGAATACAGTTGGACTACATGATGTAAAAAGCTGTTTTCAGACACAAATATGCTACAAAATGCTGCAAAGTACGCTTGCCTTCCTTACTGCTAGGTATCAGATGAGCTAGAGAGCTGCTTCAACTGATGTAAGCCTAATATGAACAGGGATGAGAAAAATTAGTTTTTTGAACTATACTTCCCAGAATCCTCAAGGGACGTGGTGGCGCTGCAGGTTAAACTGCAGAAGCCTCTGTGCTGCAAGGTCAGAAGACCTGCAGTCGTAAGATCGAATCCACACGACGGAGTGAGCGCCCGTCGCTTGTCCCAGCTCCCGCCAACCTAGCGGTTCGAAAGCATGCAAAATGCGAGTAGATCAGTAGGGACCACCTCGGTGGGAAGGTAGCAGCGTTGTGTGTCTAAGTCTCACTGGCCAAGTGACCACGGAAGATTGTCTTTGGACAAAACGCTGGCTCTATGGATTGGAAACGGGATGAGCACCGCCCCCTAGAGTTGGACATGACTGGACAAAAATTGTCAAGGGGAACCTTTACCTTTTTTACCTCCCAGAATCCCACACACAGCATGGCAGTGGTTGTGACTCTTGAGGGTTATATTTCCATAAAATAACTTCCAGTTTCTGGCTAGGGATGTGGACAGACACACATGCCTCTGAACATGGCACGCTAATGGTGAAGAAAAACATCCAGAGTTCATGATGTGCTGACTGTGAATGCATGCTCAGCACATGCACCCATCCTTCTTTGAGCAGACCAGAATTGTGCTCAGGAACAATCAGTTGTTGTGTTGGGCTTTCGGGCAATCTCACAATCTCCCCTCTGACACTTCCCCATCTGACCAGGCACAATCCAGGCTGGCTCTGATCTTGTTGGAAACAGAGGGTCAATTCTACCTAGAGCATTAAAAAAATTGACTCTGCTGGCTGGGATGTTCTTGGAACTGTCATTCCACAAAGTAACTTTTCCTGCCACTCTGACTAGGCCCCCTTGTCCTGAGCTTGAAACAGAGCAACAATTCAAAAGGTGGGAGTAAAGAGAAACAGGGAGGGAGGGAGGGAGAGAGTCTAGTTTTAAAACAAGGCCTTGTAGAAATGTTTAGAACAATGGATAGAATGGATTCCTAGAAATGCTGGAACAAAGCAGAAGTGGGCTGGTAAAAATCTAGCCAAATGCCTGTGACAACCAGGATGAAAAAATAACTGGTACAAAGGTGGGCAATTTTGCCAAGTTGAAAGGCCAATATCTGCCATGAAGCCACAGAGGCCATTACTCCCGCCACGGATAATAATAAGTATGTGCCGTCCAATCAGTTTGCAGGGAGGGAGGGAGAGAGTCTAGTTTTAAAACAAAGCCTTGTAGAAATGTTTAGGAAGAATGGATAGAATGGATTCCTAGAAATGCTGGAACAAAGCAGAAGTGGGATGGTAAAAATCTAGCCAAATGCCTGTGACAACCAGGATGATACAGTAACTGGTACAAAGGTGGGCAATTTTGGCAAGTTGAAAGGCCAATATCTGCCATGAAGCCACAGAGGCCATTACTCCCGCCACGGATAATAATAAGTATGTGCCGTCCAATCAGTTCGGACTTATGGTAATCCTTTTCAGGGTTTTCAAAGTAGAGGACACACAGAAGGGGACTGTTCAGCTTGCCCAAGGCGACACAAGCTGGCTCTATTTGTGGGAGGCTGGCTGTATTCAAGGAAGAATCAAACTCCCAACCTCTGGCTCCCCAACTAGATAATCAGTGATCCAGCCAGCTGAAATTTAGCAGGGAGCATTAAGAATTCCCCTGATCCAGGTAACCGTTTCCAATTTTCACTGAACAGTAATCTTGTTTTTTGTTTTTTTTTTAAAGGTACTGCCAGGATACTGTTTGTTGGAAGGTCTTTGTTTTTTTAACTGTCCATAACTCATGAAAGTTTGTCTCCACACTGCTAAATTTCATGAACTAGCATTGGATTAAGGATGGAGAGGCCCACATCCACACCGTTCCTCCGCTACGAAGACTCACTGGCTTAAACTGTGTGTTCTAGCATGACGGAAAGTTATGCCAGTGAAAGTGTGCCAGCGACACAACTCCCATTTCTCTTGCTGTACAGCATGCATGTCCGAGTGCTTTGCAAACAGCATTTCTACCCTGCTATGGTTTGCACTAGCACTTTGCAATGTGCACACTGAGGCTGTTTGACAGGTTTATGCTACTTCCCAATGCATCCATTTACAAGGACGGCATCTTGAACACCATCTTGAGCTCCTCAGAAGAATGATAGGAGAAAGAAATATTAAATGCAAGAATCAGGGACTCACAGACTTATTAATCCAACACCTGCTTACCCAGGGCATTTGCTACAATATATATCGTTCCCACTGATCCTTGTAACCTCTCTTTCATATTTAGCAATAGTAAAAAAAATGGATCAGGTTTCTCAGCAGCACCTGTCATGCCTCTAAATGTCAGTGTTTCTTTTTTTTCCTCTTTTTTTAAGGCAAATTACTTTTATAGAGATTCCTTTGATAAAAGTGATTTGCAAGGGAAAAAGCCCCATCACCACCCACGGCCGACAGCAAAGAATCTTTTCTGTCCTTTCAATAAATACTACAGTCATCACATGTAGTTGATCCAGGAAGGACTATTTCTCCAGGGGAGCTAAGAGGGTGGGGCTTTGAGGCAGATGTTCACGGGCCTGTTTAGCAAAAGGAGAAGAAATATTACACCAAAACACCCAGATCTCTTTTTTACATTCTAAAGAAAGCAAAGCAAAGTGACAAACCACTGAAGGGAAAGGCAAGTCGGACCATTAAGGTCAGAGTTCAAAATGACCTGATTTCACTTCTCATGTGAGTTGCGGGGGGGGGCTGCTATTACCCACCAAGTTGGCCCCCTCAAGCCTGGCAGTAAGTCTGTAACAAGCTCTGATCATGATGATGTGCAGTCAATTTGACGATGCTAATGCTGGATAGGTCAGTGGTGTAGGTCTCTAGCTGGCGGAGCCAGAAGGTGGGATTTGAGTTCCCACTGTGCCTCCTTTGCAACTCTGCAGTTACCAGATGATGATGATGTGCAGTCAATTTGACGATGCTGATGCTGGATAGGTCAGTGGTGTAGGTCTCTAGCTGGCGGAGCCAGAAGGTGGGATTTGAGTTCCCCACTGTGCCTCCTGGACAGTTGCATCCTTTGCAACTCTGCAGTTACGAGATGATGATGATGTGCTGTCAATTTGATTCCAGGATATGGAGACATAAAGGTCTCTGGGTGACCCTGTGCCAGTTAGCGGCTCAAATCCTGTTGTTTAACATAAGTCAACATGTAACTTTTGGTCTGTTATTGGCCAGTAATCAAAGCATCCCCAGCTGTGATTCTCAGCCACGTTTGCGTGCTGTTTTGGTACATGTACGCATGTCCAAAGAATCACACCAGGGACACTTTTTTATGAGGGACAAACAAACCAAAAGTTACAATTTGGATTACACTGAGCAACAGGATTTGAGCCAGAATTTCTAGCCTACTTTGCAGGGTTGCTGTGAGGATAAAAAGAGGGAGGAGGACCACATGTCCTGCTTTGATTCCATGAAGGAAGGGGTGGGATACAAATGTGTCTAACAGAACAAACTCTCTGAAGCGAAATTTCAACTCAAGAAAAAATAAACCACAACAACAACAATAATACTCATATGCCATCAAGCCAATTCTGACTAATTGCAGCCCTTCTTGGGTTTCATAGAAAGTGGGTATGCAGAAGTAGTTTAGCATTCTCTGGGACTGCAAAGGTTGTCCAAGGCCACACAGGCTGGCTCTTCTCCCTGGAGGCACAGTAGGGAATCAAATTCCCAACCTCTGGCTCCCCAGCCCGGCACCTAAATCATTAAGCTATCCAGCCAGCTAAAGAAACAATAACTAGTAAGAAAATGTTAAAACCTGACCACCCAATACCGATGCCCTGAGCCAACCTACTCCACCCCATGCAACTTTTAAGATTCTTTTTAAAAAGAAAGAGAAAGGGAGAGATCTGCCAATATGATTGCAGAAACCCTCGCACCTATATACAGTGGGGTCTTGACTTGAGAACTTAATCCGTATTGGAAGGCGGTTCTCAAGTCAAAAAGTCTGTAAGTCAAGTCTCCATTGACCTACAGCGCACTGAAAACCGATTAAGCCCGTAACAGGCCGTTTTTGTTCCATTTTGGTTTTTTTCTGGTCTGTAAGTCAAATCTCAGTCTGCAAGTCAAACCTAAATTTTGCGGCCAGAGAAGTCTGTAACTCAAAAAGTCTGTAAGTCAAGCCGTCTGTAAGTCAAGGGTCCACTGTAGGTTAAACTTCCAAGGCTGTGCAGAAGACAACAATTTTAATCAGAACAGCTAAACAGACCCTGCCCCATTCTTCCATTCTCATACCTGGGCTGATTTGGTAGCTACTGTGGGACTCAAAGGCTGGGACAGCTCAGTGCTCTTTTCACTGAACTCCGACTCCTGTGTGGTGCTTGGTTTTGGCGTCCCTTGAACCTTTTTTGTGCTGGTGGTGGTTGGAGGATCTGTCGTGGGTTCCATCCTGGCTGCAGTGGCAGCAGAGGGGGTTTCAAGTGTAACAGACTGTGTTGTGGCTACAACTGTGATAAAGGGTGTCAGGACTCTCTGGACAATCGTTGGCATGGAGGTGGTGCTTGTGGTGGAGGCTGTGGTGGTGGCAGCAGCTGTGGTGGCGGCGGTAGTGGTGGCGGTGGTAGTTGTAGCGGTAGTGACATCTTGGACGGTGGTAGCAGCGGTCGTGCCCACTGCTTTCTGGATGGTGACAGCTGGAGCCTCGGTCATTCTTGGGATGTAGAAACTGGATGTCGTTGCTGGACCAGAGGTGGCTCCTGCTGTAGGGAATGGCACAAAAGGGGTGCCGACCGGCTGCACTGATGTGACGGGCATGACAGCCGAAGTTGTGGCAAGGAGAATGGGGGCGTCTGTGGCAACCCGCACAACGGTCTTGATCCCAGATTCCTGCTCAAAATCTGGAAGAGAAGTCAAGGCAACCCTTGTGAAGTGACCACACTCAGAGAAGTGACCATACTGGAGAAAACGAACAGGAATGACAGGCTGGTAGTAAGATTCATAAACAAAAACTAACCTAAGCTTGGAAGTTAATGAACTATAAATAACTAGTTGTTTCTAATTCAATCTTTCTCCCTTTCCTTTCACTTTCCAATAGTATTTTTAATGCATCTCCCAGGACCCCTCAGCCTGGTGTACTAGTCATTTGTGCATCTCTGTAGATAAGATGTTAGCAAAAACAACCTCTCCAAAAATTGAGTAGGAAAAACTGCCTGAAAAAAAGCATATATTAAAAAGGGTGTGCGCCTCTATTTATTATGCAAAATGCATGTGAAAATGGATAAAGATTTTCACACCCTTTTTTTGTTGGAAAATCATAAACTAATAGGGAATCATGAGAAAATAAACTTCAACCTGGAGAAAAAAGAAAAACCCAAAGAAACCTATAAGGAGAGTAAGCAGCATGCTTTACTTTTGCTTTTGCTCCTTACCTGTAAGCCACTGGTTCTTAACCTTGGGTTACTCAGGAGTTTTGGACACTAATAGGGAATCATGAGAAAATAAACTTAAACCTGGAGAAAAAGAAAAACCCAAAGAGACCTATATGGAGAGTAAGCAGCATGCTTTTTGCTTTTGCTCCTTACCTGTAAGCTTCTACAATGCTAACATTATTTATATGCACCTTTGGGATCTGATAAGGACCACTTCCACCCCCCACTCCCAGCCCTAGCAGGACCACTAGCAACAAAGGTTAAGAACCACTGATGTAAGCTGCTACAATGCTAACATTATTTATATGCACGTTTGGGATCTGATAAGGATCACTTCCACCCCCCACTCCCAGCCCTGATTCCAGTAGCAGGACCACTAAGAAGACCTAGAGGGATCTAGGAGCCTTTGACTCCAGCCTCCTTCACTCTCCCTTTAATAAGTCTCTTCTGTTTTAGGATATAGATGTCATGATCTTACTCACAGCCGGAGCCTGAACCTGAATAGAATTCCTCTGTTTCTTCAACTTCTTCGTCTTCAAAAGAGTAGTCATCTCCAGAGCCTTCCAGGTCGATGGGCCGCTCAAAATTTTCATTCCTCCAGTTCTGAGCCTGGGAGAAAAGGTTCAGAGGAAGGCAGTGTTCATAAGAGTGTTAAAGCGCAGTAGTTAAATGCTAGACTAAGAGCCACCCCTGCTGCACAGGCACAAAACAGTTTACACGGCAAGAGGATATTTCAAAGGCATGCCATCACAGTTGCCGACCTTCACTGTCTACGGAAGCGTTATTCTGCCAGTCAGTGTAATGAAATCACTAAAACGCTGGATTAGGAAGTGAGAAAGTCAGGATTTAGTCCGAAGTCAGCCATGAAGCTCAGCAGGGAGGGGGGCAAGTCTTTGGGTCTGAGTCTTCGGTACCAAGTACCAAGTTCCAAACCCCACGTCTGAGTCCCTATTAAAAACAAGCTTTTCCCCCCAGAAAAAAATGGAGGTACAATCAACCCTCAACTTACAAACGTCCCTACATACAAACTTTTCAATTTACGAACGGCTCCGTTCGCAAAAATTGGAATCGACTTGCGAACAGAGCCTTGACCTACGAATGAGGTCGAGGCTCCATTCGCAAGTCAATGCCATTTTTTTGCGAACGGAGCCGTTTCTTGCCTTTGGAGGTCTCAAAGGGCTTTCCCCCTGACATCGGAGAAAGTCCTTTGAGAGCTCCAAAGGCAAAAAGGCAGGGAGAAAAGGCTGGAAATTCAAATTTCCCACCCTTTCTCCCTGCTTTTTTGCCTTCGGAGCTCTCAGAGGGCTTCCTCCAATGTCGGGGGGGGGGAAGCCCTTTGGGGCTTCCGAAGGTAATTTTTTGAAATGCTGAAATGGATTAATTCCGTTCCCATGCATTTCAATGGAAAATGGTACTTCGACTTACGAAATTTTCGACGTACGAACGTCATTCCAAAATGGATTAAGTTCATAAATCGAGGTACCACTGTAGCAGGTGGGTTCCAAGTTGCAAGTCAAGTCTAAATCATTAGAGGGAAAACACTGAGCCAAGACCAAGTCAAGTCGCTAGTGCAACTGAAGTCCAACTTGACAGCAAGTCCCCTAAACTCAAGTTTCCATCTCTGAAGCTCAATGGGTGACTTGGGGCCCACCAGTCAGCCTAACTCACAGGGCTTTCGTGGAGATACTGTAAAACAGAGGAAAGAAACGTGTATGACATCTTGCAAATGTTGAAAGAAAAGTAGGCTATCAGTCAATCAATCAATCAACCAGACAGACAGACAGACAGAGACAAACAACATTTCTTGGCTTGAAAAATCCAGCACTTCCGGGAGGAAGCCTGATTTCACTTTACATATGCAGGCATGTGTTAATATGAGAAAATATTCAAATACCTTTTGCACTACCCATTTCCATCCCACCTCAGGGTAGCATATAAAGTTCACTCACATGATTTAAACCTCATAAAAACCCAGTAGAATAGGTTAGGCTGGCCTATGGTGAGCTTCATAGGAAGAATCATTAAACCACAGGGGCTCTTCAATGAGAGATGCCCCAAATTTTGTTTAATCTACATCTTTAAGTGAACCAAACAAACTTTTATTTCTTTCACTAATAAACAGTTCAGAATCAAGTCTTCCTTAGTTTTTGGTGTCTGAATTCTGTTATTTAGTTTCCAAACGCATATAAGAATGTGCATTTTAGATTAAAATGGAAAGAAAACCTGTGCAAATGGGAATACCTGCATTTAAAAAACCACACAAAATAATGCAGATCTTTATGATTTTTAAAACTATGCAGTTTAATAGTGAAAAAAAAAATAAAATGGACCTGTGAGACTGATAAAGATGACTTGGGCTTGAAACAGACTGAACCATCTATGTTTATTTGTTACAAATAAATAAATGATGACAATTTGAATTTGCATTCAGAAGTGCATTCAGAAGCCATTTGTAACATTCTGGCAAGAATAGCTATACATTGTACTTTAGACACATGGAAAGACAACATTGCCAGGAAAAGTTGAAGGCACTAGGAAATGAGGAAGTCAGACTATGAGATGAATAGACTCAATAAAGGAAAGCACAGCCTTTAGTCTTCAAGATCTGAGCATATTTGTTTATGACAGGAGGATGTTTTGGAGATCAATAATTCATGGGGTTGCTGTAATTCAGACATGGCCTGGCTTACATAACAACATTAACAACTCCACAGGAAGTCTCCTTGTTCAGAAGAAAACCTGAGCTTTCGCTGACAACATATTAGAATCACACTGTTCTAATTCTCCTACTCCGTTGGTAATCACACGATGGGACAAGGCAACGCACTAGTGTACTGCAGCCTCCTTTAAACTGGATCAGAAGAGCAAGAATATCACCATAGAAATATGTGATAAAACTTGAAGAAGCCAGTCCCTAAACGCATGTCTGAGTTCAGAGGTTGACAACTCCAGTAAACAACAATTCCCAGTTCAGCTGTTCTGACAAAGTACACATAAACACATCAGATCATCCAGCAGTTTAACGTATTTCCTGAGAAGATTAAATGGAAAGTGGAGCAGGAAGTTCTGTATCTGGTAAAGATGCTTTAGGATCCAGAATTCGGAACGCCTTTAGAAATTAGGATTTATTTTTGTGTGAATAACAATACAAACTGATCTAGTTTAGAGTAAAAACATAGTATCAAAACCAGATATAAGTTTTTACAGTTACTTGTTGATGAATGTTAATAAACCTCTTTGATCCAAAAATTTCAGTGTGAGAGTGCAACTCTCATAAAACACGTAATTTTAAATACTGTGCAATATTTGCATTACCTATTAAAGAATAAAACACCTGGTAACCGGCATTGTGTCACGAAGGCTTGCAAAAATGAGCACAGCTTCAACAAAGAGCTTTCAAATAATTTCTACAGCTAGAAGCCTGTTCATATGTGTGACTGTGTAAAGGTCACTGCATAAGTATGTATGCACGCTCTCTTTTGCGCAAATGTACTCAGTGCAAAATCTGTTGTGCTACCAGTGAGGCAAATGATTGCGGAAAAGGAAGTGTGACAAATGGAAAGAGACACTACACTATCGCTCCTTCTGCATGTGAAAGATCTTATTAGGACCCTGCAGGTGTATTCTACAGAGTGAAGTCTCGTGATATAACATGCTTACTCATAATGGCTACAGTGCAAATCTCAGGAGCATTAGGTGCCACCAAAGAAGTCTCTTCTAAGAGACAAATTGTTTACACACACAAAAATACACAATCTCTCAGGTAACCAGATCCAAGGATTTACTCAAATTTAGCCCAATAGCAAACAGACACTCTGTTCCATTCCTCTAGTCTACCAGATAACAACAACAACAACAACAACAACAACAACAACAACCCTTTGAACTGCAGAGCTGGAAGGGACCATATAGATCATCAAGTCCAGCCTCTCTCAAGGAGGCACAGTGGGGAATTGAACTCCCAACCTTCAGCTCTGCAGTCAGATACATAAACCACTAAGCTGCTCAGGAGTGAAGTATTCATGGTGAACCCATGGGTTTCCCACATCAGAATAGACTTCTGAGCTGGACTGGGCTAGACTGGATTGGAGATGCCTTTGCTCTGATTCACCATGATTTTTCTTGTGTTCTTGGGAAATGGGGCATTTCCTCCCCCCTTTGGTGAACCCATGGGTTTCCCCACATCAGAATAGACTTCTGAGCTGGACTGGGCTAGACTGGATTGGAGATGGCTTTGCTCTGATTCACCATGATTTTTCTTCTGTTCTTGGGAAATGGGGCATTCCCCCCCCCATGAAGGCAATAAATAGAACCCTTACGTTGACTTGATATTGCATTGCCAACCTGCATCATGACATCAACATAAACTCTCGTCAACTGAATCATGTTGCCAGGAAGAATAAGAACACGCTCTCATTTCAAAAATGCCAGGACTTGATGTATTTTTACCAGTTTGTATTAGTTTTCCATATGGACATTTTATGACATTTATACCATGATCACTTCTCAACCATCCTGTGCGGTGGAGTCTCCTACGTGAAAAACATTTGACTGCTCCAATTTTATACCTCTTCTTCCCCTCCTACGCCTGGTTGATGTTTTCCTTATCTGCCTTTCCTCTTGGCACCTTTCAAATGAGTGGTGGGGGGAGATATGGCTGTGGGGAGGAGGCAAAAGTCTTTAAAAGTGGGTCAGCTAAGCACGTTAAAACAATGCATGCAGCAGGAAGTAGCAGGAAGGTTTCGTTGGTTGTTACATTGGTTGGGAGTGTCCAGTTTAGCTGGGTTGACTGGTCCATCAGACCTTCTAACTCATGAAAATGATATGAGAGAAGAAATTTATATAATATTAGTTTATTCTCTGTACATAGTTCCTACCCTCCCTGGCCATTGACCCAACTGGTTGTTGCTGATGGGGACTGGAGCCCAAAACACCAGAGACCACCATTTTATTTGAACTTTTTAGCTGTTCTTTTAGCAGCTGGCTATTTCTTTTTGACCACTGATAATTTTTTTGCTTGTTTGTACATTATTGATTTTATTGGAGTGCATTCTGCTGTAAAATTTATATTTATATCCCGCCTAGAGTGGTCATGTTACCAGATAGGCGGGATATAAATAGAATAAAATAAAATAAAATGCAATATAAGCTGTACTCGTAGCAGTAGTAGTAGTAGTAGTAGTAGTAGTAGTTATTGAAGGCTACCTGTCTCCCAATAAGGAGACCTAACTATTTTAAAGTATAGTAAATGAACCTATCTAAATCATAACAGAAAGTGACTGAGGGAGAAGGGGAGAATACTACTCCAGAATTGGTGCCCAAATAGAACAGTATCGTTCAAATGACAGCTGGGCCAAAATTACACACCCCAGAAAAACCAGAACAGATCTGCAGTGATTCCTGTCGCAACTTACAACACTAAGCCTGTCATAACTTACAACACCACTGAGGCTCAAAATGGAGCCCAATCCGATTCTTTTCTGGTCTGGTTTTTCACAGTTTCAAGCAAGATAATTATCTGTAAGCCACCAACTGCAATTCACCACCAGCCCTTGATCGTCCTCAACTACCCCTGTGCCTTGAACGTCTTTTCCTTTGTGCTTCCATGC